CAAACAGGAACACCCCAATCCGCCTCTAGATACCCCGAGGTAGAGACACCTCGGGCCAGACAGCTCGGTGTAGCTTGCCACAGGCAGCTCGCCACTTGTAGGGTAGCTCACGGAAGAGCAGTTCGGCACATCGCAGGAAGGTCTCCTGCCCAACCACCGTACCTGACAAACCTGGAGACTGCAACCACGTCTCTCGTCAGACAGTGTTGTTCCCGCCACCTTTGGAAGGTGTCTTACATCTGACAGGTACGTACCCTGCAGCGACGGCCCCGCGCGTGTCACCTCAGCCCTAGCTATAACGGCTGTGGCAGGACGACAGTGGAGGTTATACCTGCCCTGTCAGAGACAGGTGGCCTGATTCGACAGAGTTCTGTTATAAGTAGCCCAATCCCAAAGGACAGAGGAAACTTTTCGGATACTCGCGCTATCTGCACTCTTAGCCTTTACTCTCTTTGCATCTTTCACAGAGCTCTAACTTAAGCGTCGGAGTGTTCCCGCCGGACAAACCCCCGGGGATTCCTCATCTTCTCCATCTCAGGTACCATCCAGGAGCCACGCAACTGCCAGCTAGGAGTGACCGGATTGCGCACCATCACCTCCCTTCCCAAATAGTCCAAACTAAGGCTGCTTTAACACATCTCCACATTATCCTTCCCCTCCTTTTTGGCCAAGTAAACATAGAAGGATCAAACAAATTAGCCTTTGCTAGTAAGGACCACCTGCACCCAAACAAAGAAAAAACCAATTCCATATATCTACAACAAAAGAACAGGAAATCAATAAATGGGAGCAACTCTCATTATCAGACCTACACAAGACACACCAATTAGGAGAGAGACATAAATCGGGTTTCCTCTTCTGTAGCATTTCCAAGTTTATTGTGTCTCTTGAATAGAATTCCCTTCCCTAGACATGTCCTCAAATATCTAAGGATCCTCTCAACTACCTTCATATGGGGAATCTTAGGAGATGCATATACTAGCTTACCATATGCACAACATAAGTTATATTAGGTCGAGTAAGGGATAGGTAATATTAATTTCCCTACCAGCTTTTGGTACCTTTCCTTGTTTTTGGTACCTTTCCTTGTTTGAATAATCCTCACCAATAAACTCCTATAGACTATGATTCTACTCCATAGGTGTTTCTACTAGTCTACTCCCCATCATACTCGTCTCCTTTAGCAAATCAAAAACATACTTTTGACCTTGCTACTTCAATCCCAAGGAAGTATCTTAGATGGCCTAGATCTTTAATCTCTAACTCAGATGCCAAGAATTTCTTCAATCTTATATCTCTTATGGATCACTCCCTGTGATGACCATTATTAGCACCCAATTTTTGCTTGGTCCCCTCTCCAACCCACTTTTCACACTCCATATGCCTAATTAGACCTTACCAACCTCTTTAGAAGATGTCAAAACCCCAAGAAACCAATTTTCCAGTTCAAATACCCTCAAATCCACTATTAAATCTATAAGATTCCCTTCTGATGGTCATGATTATGCCACATCACCACACTTGTCACGTGATCAAACTCCATCATATGAAACAAAACCTTTAAATAATCAATCACACCAAATTTCAGCCTTAAATTCCTTGATTTCGTCATTCATCCATCAAAGATTCCATTTTGACGAATCTGATAATTCTGACTAATACTACGACACTTCTCAAGCCTAAAAAACCTACGATCCAAACATCCTTGGCATGATCAAACCCTCCCAACAGCCTCATAATTCAAACCCATGCCACTACATCAAATTCCARTTCAAAACTCCCTCATTTACCCAACCATCAAACCAAGATTCCATTTTAAGCCCCCTCATTAACTAAAATACCCGCAACCCAAATTCCCACAATTGCAACACCTTTAAAGCCATCAGACAGTCCCATTAGACGCCAAATATCCTAAGGTATCCATCTACCAAATTTCGGACCTAAAATCCCCATTTTGTCCCTCCTACAAAAAAGATTTCAAATCAACCACTCTTATCACCCGCTACTATCCAAATCATAGATCTCTATCACAACACCTCTCCCAAGACACATGAATTTTACCAAAACTTTTATTAACCTCATGATTGACTACCCATCGAATTTCAGACCCAAAAATACCCATTTTACCCTTCATATAAAAAATTCCAAATCGAACACTTTCTTTGCCCGCAATTCTCAAAATCATAGATTTTCATCATGAACTTTTTTCCAAGGCCCCCAAAACCTTCCTCAACCTCCTGATTAACCACCCATCAAATTTCAGACCTCAAATTACCCATTTTGCCAATCACATAAAAATATTCTGAATAGACCACTCTCATCAATCGCTACTTTCAAAATTATAAATCTCCATCATGACACCTCTCCCAAAACACCCAAAACTTTCATTAACCTCCTGATTGACTCCCATCAAATTTCAGCCCCAAAAATTCCCATTTTACCCCTCATACAAAAAGATTCCAAACCAAGGGCTCTTATTAGCCACAATTATCCAAATTCAAGATCTTCATCGCAGCACCCTCCCAAGAGACATCCAAACCTTACCATTACCATCCTAGGTCTCTCAATCGATCATCCTCCTATTTTTAGACCCAAAATACCCATTTTACCACTCCATCAAAAAAGGTCCCGATTAAAGAAACCATCACCTAACTTGTTCTCTTTAGAGGTCACTTCACTGGTGCTTGAGGACATGCTGAACTTACTGCAACTCAGCACACAAGCTCTTCTCAAAGAAGATAAGGATAAAAACTCTTAACAGCTCACAAAAAGAGCGTAACAGTCCAAGGACAGTGTCTTCACTGTCAACAGTCCCAGAAAACTAGTTTATATGTGATTGTAGAGCCTTCAACCACAACTTTCTGCTATCAACTGCCTAGGAAACTTCCTGAACTGTTTCTTGATTGCCCAGCTTCTAGACCTGCACAAACAGGTCTCTCTAGCAGTCGTAGTAGGACTACTCTCTGCAGTATGAGCTCCACTAGCTTATAGCCAACAAGCTTAGGGCGTCCTTGGTCAGAAACCCCAAGGAAAAACCCTAGAGAGTTGCAACCAGAACTAAGGTTTCAGGAGAAAGAAAGAAAAAAACAACCTGAACTGAAAGTTGAGAGAAGAAGGGGAGAGAACAATACAAACTAGGGCAGGATTATTGCTCTGATACCATGAAGATTCAAACCCTAGGTTAGAGAGGAGAAGAGAGAGTTTGAAAGAAACAATGGGCATCCTTACTCTCTTCCAGCCCCTTATTGATATATAAATGAGGGTTTTACAATAATACATGCATGGACAAGTATACCCCTGCTTAGGTGGCAGCAAAAATACATAAAAACAAAACATAAAAGGCCAACATAATAGATAATAATAGGCCCAAGCCCATACGGTTAAGACCCACAACAATTTCCATTCGGTGTCCTACTTTTATGGGGCTTCTTATCCTTCCTCAATGCAGCTGGTTTCATATGTGGATATAAAATCCAACATGTCTCCTTGGTGCGTTTCTCACCCCCACAATAGATATATTTAAGATTCTTCTTGTTGAACTCTTTCCCCCTTTTGGCCAGAAGGAACCAATATTGAATGTTCAATAGGTGGTTGCACTCGGGTATCTACTTGCATTTCCTTTCTTCTTACATCATTCCTCATAAGATAATAAACATGCACAAGTCTATAAGTCCATCCCTTCCCAATATCTGTGAACTTATACCTTCATATATGGGATCCAACTGGCTAGGAACTTAAATGCCCTTCCTTCCTCTGTTTGTGTGTCATGTTTCTCCTTGTCCTTTGTGTTGTCCCAGTCAATTATAAGATGATGGTCAAGTTCTTCCCACAACCCCTCCAATGTAGTAACGCATGTGGCAACAGGCAATGTCTCCTTGCTTTAGGACAGCAATATCTTGTGTTAATCTAGAGATTCTAGCATTATTCTTCCGCTGTCCATAAGTCTTAGAGACATTTTCCCAAATCCTGAAGGTGGTAGGGAAATATTGGATAGTCCTTGCAACTCACTCTTGGAGTCATAGAAGCAAGAAGCCATGACATAACAGTCGCATTTTCCCTACACCGGGTTGCATATTCAGCATCTTCCTCCTTGGGTTCCTTCTTTTTCCCATTAATATACCCCATGAGATCCCGGGAAGTGATGAACAAATTGGCCGAGACAGACCATTCTGAAATTATACTCATCTAGCAGCACACCAGTTATTTGTAAGCTGTGCAGGTTGGGGTTATCAAGATTGGAAGACCTCCCAACAGATTGGTTGTCCTTAAAAGACACTACTTCTGAAACCAATGACATTTTTTTCTTCTACCAACACACCAACTGCTGCTATTACACCAGATTCAACATATACATGCTGAAACACAGGCCTAGAGTGAAAGAGAACACTACCAGCAACAAGAACCCAGCTGTAACACTTTTCTCAGACCATCTGTACCTTCCAAAGCTTGAAAAGACCTACAGCAGTCGGCAATACCAGTAACTTGGTTTCAGTACAAAACTAGGACTGCCTACTCAATCCTCCTAAATTTGTCTTTAACAAACCTCCCTAGTAGCCAAATGGTTACTGGCTGTCACCACAATCTAGTAGCACATAGACTAGGCTGAAACTTCCCCTTTGATCCCTACTCCCAAAGAGAAACCCTAGTTACAGACTCCCTTGGGCACAACAATCAGAACTAGGGCTCTCTAATCAGTAACAAGAAACAAAAAATAATAATAATAAGATAGGAGAAAGAGGAGAAGAAACAAATAGTTTGGAATTTGTAGAGGTTGGATCTTTAGTGCTCTGATACTATGTTATCAGACCTGCAATGGTGATTAGAGTAAAAGGAAGAGAGAACAGAAAGAAGAGAAGAGAGTGAATGGGTGGCCAGCTTGTTCTCATTCAGCTCTAGAACAGGATTTATATTATGTGTTTAATAATACATAAAAAGACTAATGTGCCCCTGATTAGTGATGGGACACTCAGACAAAAATAAGAGAGCTAATTCAAGCCCACTATAGACACAAATCTAAAATAAAAAATATAAGGAAGAAAACGCCCACACTATCGCTCATTACAACATTAAGGTTGAATGTGATTCCAGGTTGATATTAGTTGGATGAGATTACGAGAACCTATCATATAGTATGGCCTTGGAGATTCAGGCAGTTGATTAGTGAGGCAAGAGAACTAGTGTCTAGATTGAACATCTCATTTGGATGGACTCCTAGATTCGATTCATCATAAGAAAAAAGAAAGAAAGAAAGAAAGAAAGAAAGAAAGAAAAGACTCCTAGATCTACTAACTCCTAAACAGATGGTTGCTAGGGTTGAGTTGGGAGAACTGTGTTGCATTGGTGAACTTCTCTCCCAGGGTAAAGGTGTGTTTCTTACTTTTAACTACGGTTGCTTTTCTTTTCTCATTTTCGTCTCCTCTTGGTTTAGTTCTACTCCCTTCTCTTTTGGATCCCAGATGAGCTTGTATTCGTTTGCTTCTCTTTATTAATAAATCCCTTTGTTACTAATAAAACAGAAATCCCAATATAGCACTGAAGATTAACGTCAATTGCATCTTGAATGAATAAAGAATTATGAAAGAAGAAAGTACAGGTCTGTTACCTTTCAAGTACATTGGGTTTTGCCAGCTCTTGTTGGATCTTCTTAGTTCCAGTCAAATGGTAGGAAATAGAAGGGCATTTGATAGCAGAGGATTGCTCCACTAGTAGCCTAGCTCTCCATTCCTAGTTAAAGAATAAGAACATAAGCATGCCAACCATCACGATGGAAATTGCACAATATTTAAGGCTCAATGTACTCTAGGACAGTCTACCACAGTAGCATACAATGATCAACAGCTCTGGGATGAACAATTTTATTGAGCCCACCTAGGAAATTCCATGCACCAACAGTTACCCAGATTCAGTTCCTTGTACTAGCTGTTGCATGTTTTCCCTCCATGCAGAAGCATAACTTGGAAAAAAAATGTGGCCAATCATAAGGTTAGAGTAGTCAGATCAGATCAGTTCTCATGATAGAAGATACTCTAGCTGGGAATTCCAATAGGATTTATTACTCCCATGTGTTTCCACATGTACTGGTTAATCATGCTTGGGGCCTACTATCTGGTAGTAAGATTTCTTACTACAATATAGGCCATCTTCGAAACAATAGCCAATGTCAACATCTAAAAGGCAAAGCATTTTCTCCTGGGGAAAATCTCTAATTAGAGCAAAGTAGAAGAACAATGGAGAAATGGTTCTTACTGATTCTGAAGGATAGTCATTTGGTGTGTACCCAGCTCTGAAATAGATGACTGCAATTTCTTGGCCACCTCTGCAAATATAAAGCTTTAAAGTTGTTAATGTCAAACATATGATAAATACCACAGACAAAAAGAAGAAATTAGAAACGTTACAGCTGTGTCTGGTTTGAAGGAAAAGGTAAGGAAAGGTAGGGAAACCCATAAAAACCTTTTATGGGTTTCCCTACCTTTCCCTTCAAACCAAACACGGCCTACAAGACAAAATGACAACTATAGAATTGAAAAAATGAATTGTTATAAAGCTACATAAAATGATTAATTAAAAGAAAATTGGAAAAGAAAAAAAAAAGAAAAGGTAAATGAGTCACATACACAAGAAGTGTTCCATCTGGCAAAAGCTCCCCTTCTGCATCAATTTCTGCCAATGTTCTGCGAATGGTTGTTACATCATATGTGTTGTAAAGTCAAGGAAAACACTTATGCATGAAATTTGTATGAGACTTCTCTTATTTAATTCTAAAAGGCATTAGTAGATCTTATCCTCTAAGCTCTCCAGCCAGGATAATAGTAATATGTTAATACAGAACAGAAATTTCATGGCAATAAGGGAAGAAAAAGATAAATTTAACAAAAATAGAATAAACACCAGTTTCTTGTGAATCCATCTCTTCAAATGTTTTATCAAAAAAAAAAACCTATAAAAGCAACAATTTTTAATATCTTCTGCTTATTTGTAAAAGTTTATAGTATCCAGAAACTTCAACATATGTTGTGTATGGCATCAGATATCTTTAATATAATAATAATCAGATAGGATATCATTTGATAATATGATCTGTTTATTAATCAAATTCAATCTGRATATTTCTCGATACAATCTGGTAGGATCTGATTTTATTATATATAATTATATAATATGTATGTATATTGCTAAATTTATTTGTCTATTTACAATATAGTCTCTTTTTTTATTTTTTTATTTTGTAAATTTATGCTAGTTTTATACAGGTCTACTGAGATTCAATTCAAATCGAATATCCAGATATATAAACAAATCAAATTTGGATCTAATATCTGTCAGATATTGAACCAAATTTGGATATACCAGATTCTTATCAGATCAGATTCAGATATACCCTATCCAAATTCAACCTGATCCATTTATATCCTAGATGAACTTGATTATTTTTTTAACTGCTTAGGATGTTCCTCTTTATATTGTAAATGTGCATATAGAGGTCAGGTCTGCTTATTGAGCCATTTAGTGGAGTTTAAAAAACTCAAGAATATCCATACGTCTCTTTTCACACTTTATTCATGGGGCAAATTTCAATTTAAACCTCCTTGTCACATGGCCAAAATAAAAATTTGAAGCTTCAGATAGCTTGTGTCACTACTCCATGTAAGGTTGGGTACAAAGATGGTGTGGACCAGGGAAGTCAACAAGTGGTTGATCCAGAAGGTCCACAATCTAATTGACCACAATATTCCTCCATAGGTGTCTGTGAGTGTATGTCTATGTACATCAAGCATGTTGTGACAAATATTACTGTACAACTTTTTAACTATTAGGGACCTGTAAACAAAGAATTTTAAAAAGGGGGGAATTCTTATCAATTTCTATATCCATATCTTGGACTCAGGAAAAGCAGAGCACATCCCATTTCACCAATAAATATTTTAGAAAAGAAGAGTATATTGTTCACATAAAGGAGGTAACTCTAAAGATAAAAAGGATATCTCTCCTTCAATGTGGTACAAAGCCAATGTTGGTCATACATGTTAAGTTCTTCAGCTTGGACCACAATCATTACAAAAGCCCTGTATGGATGTATTTAGAATTAGCAACACTTCATCATAGACAAAGGCAGCAAAATCTCAAAAGAAACTTCTCAAATACAAACCAAAGGCAAAAAAGCACGATTTGTTGACTCCAACCTTGAATTATTATACTCATTCCAAGCTTTAGCCAATGCCTCAGCGTACTGACTCACAGCATCATTTCCAGGGACCCTTTTGGGATCAAAACCTAGGTGCTTACCATTGTGATCAAGTAAGTACCTGCAGAATGAATGGATTTTAATTAGATAATTGCTGCTTACCCTATCTTACCCACTTTTGCAATGTCCAATATCCATGTAGATATGATACTCTTCCCCATGTGCACAGAGAAAAACCAAATAGAACCAATAAACTGGCCTAAACAAGAACTTCAAATTTGATTTTCTTTACAAGTATTTAAACTTGAATTTATTCTCTGTAGTGAACACTGATGTGGACCCCACTGATGTGGTCCCCACTGTGTCCATACAGTTAGTTGTTATGTTAGTTTTTTTACAGTTTGTTAGTTAGTAGTTATTCCAGACTTATGTTATGAATTTGTCTTTTATTATTTTGCCATGTAAGCAATAAGGGTAATTCAGCCCTTTTACATTTATTTAGATATGAATATAAATTATAAGGAGTGGGGCGGCAATTGCTAGTTCACTCACTCTCTTTTCAAAATTCTATCTTCGAGTTCCCCTTCTCCTCTCCTTCTCTTCTATCTTTGTTTGTTTTTCTCATCAACACTTAAAACAGGTTGTAGTCTTGTTCGACTACTTGGTATCAGAGCACTCGATCTAGGGTTTCTCATGTGGGTCTAATTCAGCCGACCACAYGAGAATTATCTAGGGCTGGAAGTCTAGAAAGATCATTCCTTTGGCTGATTCTTGGAGGTTACCAGAAGTCTTTAGCAGCTATCCAAAGATTGGAGAGTGTTCTTGGTAATCAGGAAGAATCAGAGAAGAATTAAGTGATTAGTTTTTTTATCAAGATTGAAGGTGCCGATCAGAGTAATCTAGGTAAATTTATGATCAAGGTTAGTTTTTGATCAAGATTGAAGGTACCGACAGCAGTTTGTTGATCAAGATTGAAGAATGAAGGTAGCAATCAGAATTTTCTGGGCAAGTTCTTTCTCTTCTTGAGGCCAGCAGCAGTAAGAGATAAGTTGGCATTCAGTTTTCATGAAGTCTTTTTTTTTATTGAGATTGATATTTAAAAAAATCATCTTTGATTATTCTGAGAGGTGTGGCTAGAAAATCTCTCCTTTTTTACCTGTTTTTWAAGTTTTTAAGAGGAAAACCTAAAATCCAGGTCTATTATTGATTTCGGGACAGTAGTTGGACTTGCTTCTCTCATCTGAGTTTGTTTTTTGCTCTCTGGAAGGTCCAGAAGAGCTGTTAATTGTTTCTGGGTAACTGCAGAATCTAAGTCATCATCCTAGATCGGCTGTTATCAGTTTTTGGGTACAGTTTTTCCTATTACAGTGATTTAAAAGTCTTCTTTTAATTAACTCCTAACCAGGAATGGAGTTTAAGAACCAAGGGGAAGGTGTTTTTGGGACTGGTGGTTCAGGTAACATGACTGAGAACACTTTTCCGATTACAACTGTTAAGTTTGATGGATCAAACTACTTATAATGGGCCCAATCAGCCATGATGGCCATTGGGGGTAGAGGAAAACTGAACTATATGTTGGGGGATGTGAAGGAACCAACTAAGGAGGATCCCACTTATGCTAAGTGGGTTCAGAAGAATTATTTGGTGATGACATGGCTATGCAACTCTATGCAGCCACATATCAGCCAAAACTACTTGTGGGCAAAAATAGCTAAGAAAATATGGGATGTTATGAAAGAAACCTACTCCCAACCCCTTAATGTTGCTAGGGCTTATGAGCTAAAATGTGAGGTTAAAAATCTCAAGCAATGAGAGAAACAGGTCTTCGTTTATTTCTCAACCTTAAAATCCTTGTGGCATAAAATTGACCACCTTGAAACAATTGAATGGGAGAACCAGAAGGATGCACAGACTTATAGAAAGCAGGTTGAAACTAATAGAGTGTTTGAGTTCCTAGCTGGTCTGAAGTCTGAATATGATATTGTGAGACAGCAGTTGTTGACAAGAGATAGTGTGACTCTATCACAAGCCTATTCCCTAGTGCACAGTGAAGAAACTAGGAGAATGGTATGTTGCAACAACAGCCTTTTGAATCAGCCTTGGCAGCAGTTAGACCTAAGTCTGGGGGTGATAAGAAGAGGGATATGAAGAAGGAAGCTAAGAGGGACCTAGTATRTGAACATTGCAAGAAACCTAAACATACTAAAGACACCTATTGGAAGTTACATCCTCATATAGTTCCAGCAAAACTCAGGAACAAAAAGGGGCATGCTAATGTGGCTGTTAATTAGAGCTAGGACCACAAGCACCTCTCCTTGGAAAGCCATTCATGATCTGCTATCAGTTTTCTCCCCTCTTATCAGGTATGATTTGAATTCAGGTAACTCCATAAAATTTTGGGAACAAACTTGGGTGGGGACTGCACCTCTAAAAGATCAGTTTCCTTCTTTGTATGCTCTTTCGAATTTTAAAAATGAGCCAGTATCTTCTTTCATCACCCCTTCCTCTTCCGGTTCTGGGCCTGGGTGGAACCTAGGTCTGAGAAGGGTTGTGAGGGACTCGGACCTCAACAATATTTCAAGCCTCCTCAAACTTCTTGATAATGTCTTCTTAGACCCCACTAAGTTGGACTCTAGAATTTGGACCCCTACCCCCACTAACTTTTTTCCTTGTGCTTCCTTCTTTAAAGTTTTAAGCCAGTCCAGCAATCCTGTTACTCCCCCTTTCGCAATTAATGAGGTTTCGTGCAGACCAATTCCTCCCAGGGTTGGTAGTTTTTGTTGGGAAGCCTATCTGGAAAGAATCAACACTAGTGATTTACTTCAAAAGAAAATACCCAATACTTGCTTGCCACCTCATTGGTGTGTTCTCTGCGAAGCGGAGGAGGAGACTGGTTTCCATTTACTGGTGTCTTGCCAATTTGCAAATTCAATTTGGCGGTGGGCCTTTTCCCTCTTTTGGTGTAGTTGGAACCCTCCATCAGACATGTAGAGTCTTTTCTCCCCTTCTTTTTTCAAGTGGCGTGTGAAAAGAGGAAGGACTATGTGGAAAGGACTAAGGGCTGCAGTATGCTGGTCATTATGGGAAGAAAGAAATTCCAGGATTTTCTCAGAAGTTGGGAGAAGGGCTGAAGAACTGAGGGCTATAATTCATATTAGGGTTGTACAGTGGCTGAAATCCTTAGTGCTATTCACAGATTACACAGTGGATGACATGTTGAGGAAGTGGGGTGAAATTGCAAACTATTCACAGACCAAATCAGTAATGAGTGTAACTTGGACCCTCCCACTTGTTGGATTCTTAAAACTAAACTTTGATGGGAGTAGTAGGAGGAACCCTGGACAGTCAAGGATTAGAGGTGAATTCAGGGATGAGAATGGGGTCATTTCTGCCTTGTACTCAAGCCCAATTGGAGTGGGTGACTCCCTTAGAGCTGGGATCTCTGCAGTTATGGAAGGAATCCAAAAAGCTAAGGAGATAAATATCAGAAAACTCATAATTGAAGGGGACTCGAAGGTGGTGATAGGGTGGCTGAATAAAGATAATAGTGGCTTATGGAATTACAGTAATAAGAGGAAAAAAATTAAGTGGCTGGTGAGGGAGATGGAAGTGAAGATGAGGTGGGTTAAAAGATCAGCTAATTGTTTAGTTGATGGATTAACTAAACAAAGGGTAGAAAGGGATTCAATGTTTTGGGCTAAATTGTAATTTACTGTTTCCTTCTTTCCTTTTTTCTTTTCTTCTTGAGGTTTCAAGTTGTATTTGGAAGATAAGAGTGTTTGTCTTCCTCTTTGTAATTATTTTCTTGCTGAATTAATGAATTTATTATTGATCAAAAAAAATATGGCTGCTAAAACTAATAGTACAACCTCATCGAGCACAAGAGGCACTCCTCTAGACACCCTAGCTGTTGTCCGAGCTGCTCTTACTCAGTTGGAAAATGAAGTTGGTAATTCAGCTCCATCTCCTCAGCCACCATCAGCTCCTCCAACCTCAGTTTTTGCTCATTCAGGTAATCGGGCCTCAGGTTACCATGCTTCAGCTCCAGGTAATACAGAACATTATTGGATAATAGACTCAAGAGCATCTAACCATATGACTGGCTTGCCATCACTGTTTACTACCTATCATTTATCTTGCGGAGAGACAAATGCCCATTGCTAATGGCTCTCTTGTTCCTATTTCTGGCAAGGGAGACATCAAGTTGTCTAATGTCATTTCCTTATCTTCGGTTTTGCATGTTCCTAAACTTAGTACTAACTTGCTTTCAGTTAGTAGCCATACAAAAAACCAGAATTGTCCAGTGACTTTTTTCCCTGATCGATGTGTTTTTCAGGATTTGGAGACAAGGAAGGAGATTGGGACTGATCGTGAGACAAATGGAATCTATCTGCTTAGAGGGAACTCTCATTGGAAAGATAGTGAAGCTAGGAGGTTATTTGTTTCTCAATCTGTTGGTCAGGTTGTGCTTTGGCATAATCGATTGGRTCATTTATCTTTTCGGGCTTTGAGGAGTTTGTTTCCTAGTTTATTTGAGTCAGTTCAGATGTCCAATTTGAAATGTGAAAGTTGTGAGCTTGCAAAGCATTGTAGAACAACCTATTCATTGAGTAATAAAAGAAGTAATATTCCTTTTGAAGTTGTGCATACCGATGTCTGGGGACCTTATCATATCACTGCTATGGGGGGTTACAGATATTTCTTGCTATTTGTTGATGATTATGCCAGTTTTTCTTGGGTTTACCTTATGCGTTCACGAGATGAGGTTCCAGCATTTACCTGGATCTTTCATCAGATGATTTTAACACAGTTTGGGGTCAAAATCAAAATTTTTAGATCCGATAATGCGAAAGAATACTTTGCAAAACCATTAGCATCTTATCTCCTTGACCATGGGATTATCCATCAGAGTACTTGTCCTCATACGCCACAGCAAAATGGGGTTGCTGAGAGAAAGAATAGACACATATTGGAGGTGACTAGAAGCATTATATTTAACTCCAATGTGCCTATACGTTTCTGGGGGGATGCTATTCTTACAGCAGTATATCTCATTAATTGGATTCCTTCACGGGTTCTTGACATGAAGCCTCCCTTTACCCTTTTATATCCTGATAAAGAGTTGTTTACCATTCCCTTTAAAACCTTTGGTTGTACTTGCTTTGTTCAGATTTTTGGCCCTCATCGTTCCAAATTTGATCCTAAGGCCTCAAAATGCATTTTCTTTGGTTATGCACAAATTCAAAAGGGGCATTGCTGCTATGAACCTACTTCTGGGAGGAGATTTGTCTCTATGGATGTCACTTTCTTGAGGATGTACCTCGGGGGGAAAGTAATGAGGTTGAGATTGACTCATCAGAAGTTCCTTTACCTATCCCATTAAGTGAAGAGGGATGTAATGGGGAGGGTTGTCAGAGGTGTCGGGATTTGAGAGTCTATCACAGCCGGTGGAGGCAGGTTGATTTTGGTCATCAACAGTCAAGACCGGCCCCAATTCCTTTTACCGATCCAGATCCAGGTACCACAGTTCTTTTATCAGGTATTATAGATGTGATACCTTCCACTGTTGAGCCCTCACCTTCATTGGATGACCTTGACCTCCCCATTGCAGTCCGTAAAGGCGAACGCCGTTGCACCACATCCACAGTCCACTGCATTTCCCAATTCTTTTCCTATGATCATCTGTCCCCCTCTTACAAGTCCTTTCTTGCATCCGTTGCTGATATTCCCATACCCAGAACAGTGCAAGAAGCCTTGTCAGTTCCTAAGTGGAAAGATGCAATGAAGGTAGAAATGGATACCCTTATCAGAAACCATACTTGGGAGATAGTTGATCAGCCCAAAGGAAAGAAACCGATTGGATGTAAATGGGTGTTTACAGTGAAACATAATGTTGATGGTTCCATTGAAAGGTATAAGGCCCGATTAGTTGCAAAGGGATTTACTCAGACATATGATATTGACTACTTGAAGATGTTTGCACCGGTAGCAAAGATGACAACTATCGGAGTCTTATTATCTCTTGCAGCCAGTTACTCTTGGCCTTTGTTTCAGATGGATGTTTTTTTTTATGAATAATAATAAGTTTATTGATTCAGAAGCAACTTTAGAGTGAGTTCATACATCATCCCAACGAGAGGCACGAGCTGCAGCCCCTCCTTGAGTCTTACAAGTAAACTAGGAAAGAAAAACAATAATCACAACTGAGCCCAA